CCTCGTCTCCGGTCTTCTTGACTCTGTCTTGACACCGGGTCCAGGCGGGGGAGGATGAGAGAGTGTAGGTAGATGCAGCGCAAGTCTACCGGCACTATAAACCCCTGCGTAAGTCACCGTCCCTGCTCCCATTGCTGCTGCAACTGTGGGGCACACGGTGGACATCATCGAAACCGATGGTCGAACTGTCAGGGAGGTCTGGTCGGTGCTGTTTTACTGAAGAAGTTCGTGGATGGACATATGCTCGAGGGATTCCTTGAGATAGCAGAACGCCCTGGAATGATGTGAGCGAATTAAACAGGAGTGACGGATGCATTTTGGGGTTCCTGGTGCTGATTCGCCGGTCCCGGCGCGAGGGATTCGCAAACGACCGCCCAGGCCAATGCGTTATCCATGTGTAAGATGGCCGCAGGAACAAGTTTGGTTGTGTCTATAGAGTTTGTACTAATGGAACTGGTGGCTGTGGTGGTAGAGGTGTTTTCTGGTGTCACGTCGACATTGTACTGGGTCCACAGTTATCCGACGAGGCTAATCCGCGCTTCAAAAGTTGGTCATTAATGTGAACACGATAGTTGGCGTTGGCTGTTAACAAAAATGATTCATGTATTGGGGACTGATGTTCTCCTACCTTGCTTTGATCAGTTGTATGTAATCAGCTGCGTAGATTGCTGCTGTAGTTCCTACAGCAGTCTGCCATGACTGCAGATTGTGCACAAGGTTTCACGATTGATTTGTAGACGCTTGGGCGGAGTTTTCAGAAGGTCTTTACATCGACGCATTTGTCCGCCTTGCTTGTGATTAGTCACAGCGGCGTCTCCGGGCAACAACGCTGGTTACTCATCCTCATGGCGTGCCTACAAAAGGTAATTTCATGTTTCAACATGATTTAGGCGCTAAGCTCTCCGGATCTTTCCAAGCTCTGCGTGTCTGAGATTCCCTACTTCGGCCTCACCTTTACCATTCTTCAGAAGCAACCGAGATAAAATTTGCTTAGTTTCTGTACCTGGCTTTCATTGAATGTTCATGTTTCAGCTCAATCAGGATCATAATGAAGAAAACAGCGCCGTACCTGGTCAATTTTGTGTTAAGAAAGGTACCGAGTAGGTGTCAGATGGAGTGATTTGGTCGGCCGCAGGCCTTGCTGACGCGGAGACCCGATTGGAGATCTCGTCAGCAATTCTGATGCTCTTAGATCTGTATTCTATATGCACGTCAAGACTTTTACTGATATGAGGCAAATTGTATTGACACTGATATGGCATCTATTGTACTAATCCTTTTACGCCGGTTGATTCACGACCACTTTCTCGTCGGTGCTGGTTGTCAAGTAGAAGTCATAACAGACAGATGTGAAGAGTTAAACACTCCACGGACTATCTCTCTCCTTTGTGGTGCTTTACTCGCAGTAATCCGCGAACAGTTCATGGACTCTGGCCTTAATCCCTCCCTAGGAAGCCTCCATATGCTGGATATTTGGCATTTGTCCTTTCTTTCGGCAGAAAGCGTTGATTCCCAGCAGCCCCTCACGGTAAGTGTCCATGGGCATGGCGGAGAATATGAGGCTGAAGAGGATGAGAGCGAGTGCACAACCTTGCTTCGCCCATTGGTCACTGCAAATGCATCAGAGATTGCCTTGTTGTCTGTGACGTGCGCCATAATTCCGCCGTGTGGTGGTCTTAACATTGGCACGAGTCATTCTGGACATCCAAAATTCAGCGTAATTTTCCAGTCTGCCGCGAGTGGTAACGCCAAAGGTCCTTTTTGGATGCACAGCAGTAGTGTTAACGGACCGTGAAAATAATGTTCACGGCACAACGGTGTTTAAATGTGCTTAAAAATGATTCCCTGTTTCAGACGTGTACTCAGGCGAATGCGTAGGATACGGCTGAGGATTGTACTTTCAATTTTTCAGAAGGAAATGCGCCTGTGACTATCGGAGAGTTACTAGTCCCCTTTGCGTTTTTATATGTGGACGATGGTGGGATACTTGGAGTCCTATGGAATGAGTCCTTGAATCGGTATTCCCGGAACATTAAAGTAGGCTTGTCAGCGAGGTAGAGGCGGCCGCATTAAAAACTGTCGATGGAAATGGGTCAGCGTCCGAGGTCATTTCGTTAGACAGTTGTTGCATTGCCCTTTTTTATCTTCTGAGGGGATGATGAATGATCGAGCTCCGCTTTGGCTTCCACATGAAGAAATTGGTTAAATGCTTCCTTGCAGGTCTGGACTGGTTGTTAGGAGCATCCTTGAGGTGCGTGGCCAGAGGCTACAGGATGTGCGACATCTCTAGTAGTAAGTTTGCGTTGTATTGACTGTACAATCTCCTTAGTATGAGGACTGCAGACGTTTTTGCAGGTTGTGAGGAAATTCTTCATCTCATCACGGTCGGCGTATCATTGAGTTCATTCAGTTTTACGGCTCAGTCAATCTTTCCGCACTCTCTTTGGCATTTAGTGTACCAGGCTTTGTAGTCAACAATAGGCAACCTTAATGGCGTCAGTTCTGTCGTTGACTTGGATCGAGTGCGAACTATCTCTCTATGAAGGTAGTCGTCGGATTTATTCGTCGTCTTCGCTGAAGCAGTCTTTGGTGCTGTCGGTGTGCACGAAAGGCAACTCCCAGTGCGCTGTTCGGAAGAACATCCTACATTTCTGTCCACTTGCTCTCAACTGTCGCGTTCGACTCGGGGTTTGCAGTTGTTTCAGTCTGAGATTCAGGCGACTAATAAAAATCGGTTGGCGTTTGGTCGTATCTAGTAGATTGCGTTTAATTGCTTACCTCACGGACGCCCGGGACGTTTAAGTTGAAGGCTCACTTTAGAGGCGACAAAAGTATAGCCCACTATCAGTCTGCAACACCCACTGCATTGGCTATGCCTCTTGACATAAACGTAGTCCAACAGTTTCCAACGATGCGAGCGGAGATGCATGCACGTAATCCTCCCGTGATCGGAAAGCGGAAGAGTGTGTTCGTTAGGAGAAAATTGCTAACTGCGGATCTACAGGAGGGAAGTCCATTCCTCTTACAGCTGCCGATGCCATGGCAACTCAACAGTCCCTCCCTAGGGCGTGGTCAGGGCCAGCAAGAGGACACTTAAGTCATCAAGGACAATTTGCCCGTGTTGGGAACTTTTTAGGAGGGCACGCAGGACCTCATTGAATATGCTGAAGATTGGAGGAGAGTGTCGAACATGTTCCCGCAGTGCAGCAACCTTATGATCATGAGAAAATTGTTCATCTCCAGCGTCCTGCAAGACAACTATCTCTCGATGCCACCTCGTCGGCAGAGTCGACTCGAGCGTCTCGTCACCCTGTCTCTGGACATTCACTGCAGAAGAAGGTACATCTGGCGTTCACTTCCTCCAATTTTTCCCGTCCGAAGAAGCTGTCCGCGCCGATAACCACAATGTCCACTATGCAGCGGGCAAGGTTCGGGGCGGTCAGGTTTGTCTTTTCCTCCGGCCGACTGGCCTCCATAGTACCTAAAAGTGCAAAAAACGTTGCAGGCTCTCAGAGTGATTAATGTAACTTTTGCAGACTGTTGGGAGACAGGGGGATTTATAGCGGTGATGGTGGTTGTTTGGCATAGTGTTTCGAGCGCGCATATGTTGCGTTCACAAGCCACAGTTGGCCTGTCGATGGCGAGTTTCACCAACATCTTCTAGGATACACCTTCTGGCCTCTCTTCTCGCGAGAGGCTGTGCAAATCTCCTCTAAACACGCTTGCTTGGGCATCTCATGCAGTGACTAAATTCCACCGTGTTTTACGTTTTTGGTATAACGGGAAGACGACCTGAATTAGACTGGATCCCATGCGAAATTGCGTATGTTCTTTCCCCTAGAACATCTCTATACAGTGATGACATATGATAGGGATTTTTTATGGACTACCGGGCGTGGAGGCAGACATTCCGGACACTCATATGGCTTGCCCCCTTAAAGGAGGACGTTTAAATGTGGTCTTTGGTGTCTAAACAGCCCCTTAGGGGAGAGATTATTACGTGTTTTCAAGAATGGGGTCAATGAACGTGAATAATTTAGGATCTGTTTATTTGCTATGGTTACCTAACGCTCCTGCCGAGGGATTCATTTCTCACAGTAGACACGCAAACATCAGGAATGTTTAACTCAATTTTGATAGCCTTGAGTATGCGCCGCCTTTTATTAAACATTTGGCCATCTCACCAGATAGGAGAGAGGCTTCTTTAGTTCGCAGACTCTGAATGCAACGGGCAAACATTGTCACCCTCAGAGAAATCCTGCTTCCAAGCGAAGGAACACTGGTACGGTTGGAAAGTGACAAAGGCGGCACGCGTTGATAAATCCCAGCGACCACCGATCGCAAATTTGCCGATACTCAACTTAAAAAAAGAACAACTACTGCCCAAGAAACCCGAAAGGCTAAAATGATGAACGTAACGCTTTCCGAAAATCGTCAATCTGCCATGTTAAGTCTTCGAAACTGTGGACAACAGACTTCCGAAAATCCCAATCAAGATCGACCTCTTCCTTCTAACATCTCTGGAGTAAACGAACTGTCAATTTCAAACGTTCGAGTTCCGTCGGGGTAGACATAAGAATAATGGCGTGTCCGAAGGATTTCAAAATGTGTGCGTTGTTCACCTCTACAAACGCAAATGAGACCGAAAAATAAACAAGAGTGGTCAAAATCCCTGGGACTATTTCCGCACGCAACAGGCCGAATCAGCTTGCTACCGATGTAGTGAGAATTCTTTAAGGTGGAATACATGGCACTAGTATCTGCATCATGTCTGTTTGCCCGGAAACCGCTCTCGAAATAATAAAAAATAACTGAATCTGGAGGATTAGGAAAGAATCTGGGTGTTCATATGCGCGGGACTAGTGAGAAAATTATGAGAACGCAGGAGACCCTTTTAAGTCATATTTACCGTCTACGGAGTAGATCGTCCAAGAACTAAGATATAAAAAGAAAATGATGGCCGACTATTCAAAGCCCGTTGTTTGTGGGCCCTAATCAATTTTTCGACGGCCGGGTTTTGTGAACTAATATTCACCGATGACTGGGTATGCTTAACCTTCAAACAGAACCAGATATCCTGCATCGGTTAGACTTCCGTATGCTCGAGCACCCGACTGACCGTGGATACGACGAAGAGAGCTACCGTGGGGTAACAGATGCCGGCTACTCAGTGCAAGTGATCTTTGACAAGATTACTGAACGGCTGCTGCAACGTACTAGAAAGTCTCTGTCAAACGTGGAACAGAACCAAAATGACCCGTTAGGTCCTGCGCCCAATCTCACCTTGCCCTTACTCTGTCCTTTTCCGAGAACACTCTGGACGGGAGAGATGGAACAAGGCTGGCGTTAACCAAATGTGTATCCCTATCATTCAATTCACGCAAAAATTTCATTTTGGAGGTTTGTGGTGCCCACTAAAGCCAATGGATCTAGGGCAGTTGAGCTAGAGGGACTCTTATTATGTTAAGGAGGTACTATCCGAGCAATGCCTAGGTTTATGTGCATATTTTAAGTCCTTGGCCCATGTGGTGCGTGAACACACTAGTGTCCCATGTGAGCCTTGCCTTGCTCGTTGTATGGTCATTTCTGCGTGCCAAAGGTTGAATGCATAAAGTTTGCTCAAGTGCAATTTCAGTTCGCTTCTACCCCGCACATCTCGCATCCCACTTACCATCATTCCACACCAGAAACTGGCCTTTTATCGCAAGGATGATTTGCACTAGACTGCATCACCCGTCCTGCCTTTTTGTCAACCCAGTGGAAGGCACGGATGGCAAGATCAAGTTTCACCTCCCACTCTTTCCCAGGCATTCATGCGACCTGGCGGTCCGTGAAGGTCGTGTATTTGCCTCCAAACGGGACTCCAGCGAGGCGCTCTTTTCATTTTTTGAACGTTTCACGAAAAATCTCAACAACTACTTCCACGCAGTGAAAGAGAAGCCAGGCTCCGCCATCCACCGGTTACAGACCACCCAAATGAAATTAATGTCCAACCCTGACTCCTCTCCCGAGGAAGTGAAATCTTCTTTGACCCTGACGGAGGCCTTCCTTGGCGGCGAGCATGAACTTCAGTTGCGAATATTTTGTGAGGTTTGCGGTAGTGGACCCGAGCCTAAGAAGCACCAGTTTCATGTCGATGTCCAACTCTTTTCAGCTTGGCTTAAGTCCTGCTCGTTGAATTTGCTTCCCCAGGTCGGCTGTCCTATCCTACCTGCCCTAGATGCCAGTAACTTCTCCCTGGAACACTCCCAATTCCAATGGTTTGTCTCCAAGGTGAGGGCCTGCCGCCGTCTGAGTTTAGATTCCAGTAGATATGCGATCTCATGAAATATTAACCGAAGTTTTGGAGTGTGATTTCGTTTGGAAAAGATTACGTAGGTACTGCTGTCGTTGTTGGACATCTCCGAACCAACTGCACCTCTCGAACTGCTCCAGCCATCGTCCCCCCGCCCGCCTCTTCCTCCTCCCTTCCGCCAACTAACTCTGACACTCCTTCTGCACCACCAATTCCATCCTCCTCGTCCTCGTCGTCCTCCTCCCTCTCCACTGCCCCATCGGCGGCCGTCCAGACTGCTGTCTCACACATCACCAACACCAACACACCAACCAACATCACCTCTCCCACCTCTCCCGATCACAGTGATGAGGATCAGGTCTACACCTGCCCTCACTGTAACCGCACCTTCATCTCACGCATCGGCCTGGTCGGTCACTTGCGAATCCATCGCACAGAGACTGGCGAACCAGTGCCTGGAGCACCAACCTACACCCACCGCACTCGCCTCCACTGCCCACAATGCCCTCGCACCTTCACTCATCGCATGGGTCTATTCGGCCACATGCGCATCCACGAGAGCGGAATTGACCGCAGCCTTGACACATCCACCCCGCCGAGCCCCACACCCAATCCACCACCTTGTGCACCCACTAACCACTCCCCAGCCGACATCGACGCCACCGACCTTACCACCCCTCACTCCTCCCCTTTCTCCTACTCTTCCTCCTTCACTGCCACAACGACGGCCGCTTCGGCGTCTGTCGCCCACGACTTCACCACAGCCGAACCTGACACAACAACCGGCACAACCCCTGCGACCTCCATCATCAGACGTGAGGGCCAGGACTACATCTGCCCTCACTGCGATCGCACCTTCACTTCACGCATCGGCCTGGTCGGTCACTTGCGAATCCATCGCACAGAGACTGGCGAACCAGTGCCTGGAGCACCAACCTACACTCACCGCACTCGCCTCCACTGCCCACACTGCCCTCACACCTTCACGCATCGCATGGGTCTATTCGGCCACATGCGCATCCACGAGAGCGGAATTGACCACAATTCCGATACAGCCACGACATCCAACACATCCACCACGCCCAGACCAATCCTCGCTCCACCGTCACACGCGTCGACCACCACCACCAACATCACTGCTTCCTCTACAGCTGACACCGACACCGCCAACCTCTCATGCCCACATTGTCCACGCACCTTCACCTCACGCATCGGCCTGGTCGGTCACTTACGAATCCATCGCACAGAGACTGGCGAACCAGTGCCTGGAGCACCCACCTATACCCATCAAGCTCGTCTCAACTGCCCACACTGTCCTCGCACTTTCAGGCATCGCATGAGCCTATTCGGCCACATGCGCATCCACGACGACCTGCGGTAGACAACCGCCGGCCACACCACACATTCACTCACTCCCTACCTCCTAACACCATCACCCCACCAGACATCAACACTCACAAACCTCATGCACTCAACTGCCGCCTCCCACGCAAGTGGGAAGTGTGCATCTCGACTCGGTCCCCATGCGGCTTCGGCTGCACGGGTGACTTGAGTCCGAGGCTATCCCGACACGTCAAGCGTCGTGGATAGGAAGGTTGCTGATTGAGGCCCGCTCTCGGTTCGCGCAGTTCGTCACGTTGTGTGTGTTGTGTGTAGTGGCGGACTGGCGGGCTGGGGATGGGCTGAAGCAGCACCTTTCACGGCCCTCTCACGCAAGTGGGAGACACGCCGTTCTACCCCCGTTGTGTGAAATCCTGGTGTTTGTGTGTGTATGGGGGGCCAGGTCGTGCTGTCGCGTGCGCAGGCATGGTCAGTCGACCATGTCAGCCACCGCGCCCATTCCCCACTCCAGTTTACTGACCGGCTCGGACAGTGGCTGGGGTGTGGGAATGCAAAGGGAGAGTGAGGTCGACGACTCAGCGCACTTTCTCCTCACTATAAACAATCTGACGCGCTTGAAGCTATCACGGTGCGCTAAAAGCCGTGGCTTGGAAGGTTGCCAACTGACGGGGTACCTTGGACCTCCTCCTTAACGGGAGGCGGTCTGAGAGTCAGGCTGCAATGGCTCCTTTTTAATGTGGCCTTTATGGCATTCCCACCACAGTGTGGGATCCGAGCCAGGCGTTGGCGGCACGCCCAGGTGCGGCTTCGGCCGTGCCAGCCTCCAAATCTCTGTTGTGTTGGTTGAAATCCTGGTTGTTGCTGTGTGGACCAGGGGGTGTGGTGGAACGCCAAGGTGAGGATCCGTCCGAGCCATCCACCTGCGGCCTCCCTCGTCTCCGGTCTTCTTGACTCTGTCTTGACACCGGGTCCAGGCGGGGGAGGATGAGAGAGTGTAGGTAGATGCAGCGCAAGTCTACCGGCACTATAAACCCCTGCGTAAGTCACCGTCCCTGCTCCCATTGCTGCTGCAGCTGTGGGGCACACGGTGGACATCGTCGAAATCGACGGTCGAACTGTCGTCGTCCCATGTGAGCACAGGGACGGATGTGCATGTACTTTCGGAAAACACCTGTAAACCGATTAGCTTGGTAGACCTTGTCAAGAAAGGGTACTGTATTGGCTCAACGTGGCTGAATAGGGCATGTTCGCACACTGCCAGCATCAGCGCTTGGCCTAGTAATAGCATTTGCATGACATACAGAAATGGTTAAGAAGTAGAGCAAGCAGACGATAATTTTGGAAGAACGAAATTCAGTGAAGTATGGACGAGAAATAACGAAATTACATGTGCTTCCCTCATACTGCGTGAAGGGTTCATTTTTCAATAATCCCAAGGCATTTTTTTATCAAAAGTACAAAAAGTGATCAGCAAAAGTGTCGACGTCTTATAAAAAGAATTAATGCTGTTAAGTCACGTGAGACACATGGTTTAGCGCGCGAAACGTCTGTATCGCGTGCTAAGGACTACCGTTTGACATTCAGGGCAGCACTCGCAGGCTCTACCATGAGCGAAACTAAAGCACGCCAATATCATCCAGACGTCCAGACGCCTTGAGTGCATATATGTCCGGTCGCGGTGATAATCACTGCACCAGCTAGCATAGTTGAAATGTTTCAGGTGGTTTCTGCCTAAACTGAAGTACTCCGCAACACATCTCTAGGTGATGAAATATTAAAATGACATTAAAGATTAGGCATGGAAAGCTTGCTTTATCGGATACTCAGAATGTTAGTTATGACATTGTTAAAGAAGCAAAATCTTTCTAATTGAAGATTGGGGAACTGCCTGCAGTAATTAGACATTAAGCATGGACGAAGATCGGCTTCAAATGTTCTATAATTTTTGATCTGGCTTCTCAAACACTGACAAAGTAATAAGCCCTTCGGCACATGCAACGAAGTTTTTTCCGTAGATTTTATACGCTGGCCACCCAGGCCGTCTTCAGAAATGTGGCAAGTATGCAAAACGGTCAACATTTTTAAAATTAAAACATCTATACTGCCTTTTTATTCCTGCCAACGATTTATGACGCCGGCTGACATCTCGCACTGACTGGCTGTGGCCTCTTTCATTTTCCCTGAGATTATCGTAAACGGCGTCTAGTCCAGTGTGCCGTTTTATGCATGATTCATCGGAATACATGACCTCCAAAAACTCACGGCTGTTTTTAGCTGGACAGACACTAACAATGCGCGCCTTGTCCCAAGCAAATTTACGGCCACTTTCCGGTGTGTGCATGGAAACTTGGGACATGTAGTCCTGCCTCCTCACGACCAGTTGATCTTCGTATATGCGCGTAGATACCGACTTTGCAGTTCGAACACGGCACATTGTATTGGAGGTGCCACACGGAGTCTCGCAGACGCTGCAGATCTGCAGCGACAGAGAATGGCAGGCGGCGAGGCACTGATGAACTTCGGTTCGATGAAGTGCTTATGACCTATCTGGTAGGCCTCAGTGGTGGACCGACTGCGCCAGGTGCGTCTGTGCGCATGTTTGTTTTTCCGGTCCCAGCTGGTGGTCAGGGTTATGATTGGCTGAATGAATGCAAACAAGCCCAAAACAGTGCTGTGTCAATCTACTCCCCAGACTCTGTCGTCTCCCTTCTGCTATCATAGCTTGGCCGACTTCGGCCTGGTAGGTGGTTGCCTATTCGTGACCCCTATCGCCCACACGAAGCGTGTTTGCTTCGGCAAACTAATGGATCGGTGTGCTCCCATTCCTGAGTGAATATATATATATATATATATATATATAAATATATGTATATATATAATGTTAGGGGGCGCTCACCGATCGTTCATACGGAACTCACTTGTTCCGTTGTGCCTTAAGGGCTCTCTCTCGAGCCCAACCAGCAGCCGCACAGCGGCGCATGATATATATAGGCAGAATAGCATTACCGACAAAGACAAGGGAGACTGGAATGGCCATTTCTGGCTTACTAGCCGTCGTCAGCCAGCCATACCCAAGCCCGAAGTGTGGAACACCCGAGCCTCGAACTCGCGACCTGTTGGTTTAGAAGTCAACGACTCTACTCACCGGGCCACGAGCCCGTTGCCTTGTCGTTCCGTATGAACGATCGGTGAGCGCCCCCTAACATTGTATATTCCCGATCGAAAACCGACAAGGCAACGGGCTCGTGGCCCGGTGAGTAGAGGCGTTGACTTCTAAACCAACAGGTCGCGAGTTCGAGGCTCGGGTGTTCCACACTTCGGGCTTGGGTATGGCTGGATGACGACGGCTAATAAGCCAGAAATGGCCATTCCAGTCTCCCTTGTCTTTGTCGGTAATGCTATTCTGCCTATATATATATATATATATGCTGGAAAACGGGCATCCCAAAAAAATTTAATTGAAAATAAGTAAGATTCTTTGGGAAGGGAATCAACTTTAGCCAATAGATCGGTGTGCGCCCATTCCTGATTGATAAATACCCGATCTGCAGCGACAGAGAATGACAGGTGGCGAGGCACTGATGAACTTCGGTTCGATGAAGTGCTTATGACCCATCTGGTAGGCCTCAGTGGTGGACCGACTGCGCCAGGTGCGTCTGTGCGCATGTTTATGTTTCTGGTCTCAGCTGTTGGTGGTCAGGGTTATGATTGGCTGAATGAAGGCAGAATAAGCCCGAAACAGTGCTGTATCAATCTACCCGCATTCTCTGTCGTCCCTCCTCGCTGCTATTATGACTTGGCCGACTTCGGCCTGGTAATTGGTTGCCTGTTCGTGACCTTTGCCACACATACGGAGCTTGTTTGCTTTGTGAAGCCAATAGATCGGTGTGCGCCCATTCCTGATTGATATATATATATATATATATATATTTATAGTAATAGATCACCTTCGACTCAAATTTTAATTGAAATTTCGGGCCTGACCCTAAGAAGTCATGTCCCGGGGCCTTGAGTCCAAGTTCCGCACCAAATAGTTTCTGACATTATTCACTTGATTCCTACTTGGAGTTCATATACCAGAAACCGCATAGTGGGACGCTGGGGGACCCAATGAAGAGCCGGACTTCCCGCAGATGTGTCACGCAGCGGCAGAATATCGGCGAAACACATGTCTGGGCTTTTAGTTAGTACCTAAGTCGGAAGTACGTTATAATACGTTTTTCACATACACTTCATACTTCTCGTAGTACTATTGTTTGTAGAACGGACATTACGTGATTATTCCACAGAAATTGATTGCCTTCGACTCAAATGTTCATTTACATTTCGGGTCTGATCCTAAAAAGTCATGTCCCCGAGACTTAACTCCATGTCCTGCACTGGAAAATTTTTGAAATTATTCGCTTGATAAACATATATATTCACCCAGACCATGGAAGAATGTGTTTTTGTCCACTACGAAAGGGCGCTCGTCGGAAACTACCCGACATAGGTTGAATCCCTTATATTTTTCAACCATTTCCTCACCTTGACCGGGTTGATTTCCCATTGATAACTGGGGCTGATTTCTACTTGCTATCTGCAATCTCCAGTCTATCATACACCAAAACTCTGTTACAAATGGGATGTACGATCGCCGCAGTTGCAGACTGCTCGCTTACACGCCGAATAGTAGAATAAAAGCTTGAGGCCAAGAACACATTGACTTTACCTGTACTATATGACTTGAGGGAATTGTGTAATCCTTGCTCTTTAAATAGTTTGTTTTTGGTAAGGCTGACGGCTAAAACTCACCGAGCAGCAGTCTCTGCAGGTTAAGTAGGAAAAACCAACCAACCAACACAAATCGACCCAAGAATGACATTTTTACCAGACTTTCAGTCCTGAGTGGGAAGAATGAGGTGCCTGGTTTAGAAGTCACGTATACTGCGATCCGTTCCCACCTATAAAACAAGGCTCTTTTGGGACGATCGTTCATTTTGCAAATAAGGCCCCTTCTGGTGCTGCAGCTCCGTGGAAGAATAAGCCATTCACTTCAAA